TCCTCATTTCACAGATACTATGAAAATGTCATGTTTTTAGAACTGATGAACCATTTAATTGCAGTGTAATTGTTGGATAGCCTTAAGGGCCCACATGAGGTTAGTATCATGAAGTAAAGTGAAACTAGTAGTCATGGTTGAGTTTTTTTCTAGCAATGTCCAGCTGCACAGGTGCAGACATAGAATGGATTTAAACATTGTAGAGACGGAGTTTGAACAGTTTTGGCTTTTTCATGTGAATACAGGAAAGCAAGAGGGTGACAAGGCAGTTGAAGATGTCTATTAGTGAGTGAGTGATTTTAATAAGAAAGGCAGTTGGAGTCAGTAGTGGAGGAAGTGGGCTGCAAACCTGTGGGAGGGGTTCGAAGAGGAGTATCAGAGAGTGCTTGGATTGAGACTTGTCGGGGTAACTCTACTGGTAGCCACAAAGTCAAGAGGATGACTAGGACAGGAGTGGCTGAGATGAGGGGGAAGATAAGATCAACAGGAATGGCAGAGAAAGAAGCTAAGATTTGAAGGATCATCCACATGGATGTTGAAATCAAGGTAGAAATAGGAGTGACAATGAAACAAAATCTTCAAAGAATGGTGAGGTATCAAGGGTCAGGTATGGTGGGGAGAGTGGAAGGAGAAGAACAACTCAGAGGTCAGTGTAACTGCAGCTGGGAGGCAAAAGTGGAGCGGTCTGATGACACAAGCATCAAAGCTCCATAGTTCTAAGGAGCAACAAGAACATTCTGAAAGTGAAAATGAGCATCAAAAAGGACACTTAATTAAACTCGAAGCCCAGGAGTCCAAGGGAGAAAGAACAGCCATCACTTGAGAAGGCTACAGGGCAATCAGTCCCCCAGGGAATAGCTGGATTTCAATCAAGCAAGAAGGCTGAGGGAACACCACTACACTGAGGATGGAATTCCATCAAAGGTGTTTGCCTTAGCATCCAGTGCTGGTGGTGAGAGCCCAGTCTGATTCCGCTTCTTTTACAAACAATCTGTTATTTTCTCAATATAAATAAATGTGAAGTTCTAATAAAATTTAAAATCCTGAGCTATTACTTTGATGTTTTCAAGTATGACTCATCATATACTGTGCTTTGCATTTTGTGGACTTTTAATAGAAGATTCATGTCTTTTTCAACTCTGGAACATTTTTTTCTATTTCTCTCCATTTTCCCTATTCTCTACTTTTGGAACTGCTACCAGATGAATAGTGGGATATCTAGATTTAGTCTCCATTTCTCAATTTTCCTTTTAAACTTTAGTAGTGAATTTTAAAGAAGGTCATTTTCAACTCACTCAGTTGATATTCCGGCTCACTAATTTGATCTTCAATTGTGGATACTCTATTTTACAACCCATACATTTTGTTTACGATCATGTTTTTAACATCCAAGAACACTGATTCTTATTTTTGTCAACCTTTTTAAAAAACAATTAAATACAGGTGACTCTCCAACATTGTTTCAATCCTGGTCTAAGGCAGTCATGGTAATTCATCTGTTGAGCAACCTTTTGATAAGAGACAGTCTATAACAACTCTTATATAATTCCTGAAATTCTTCATTCAAGGAATATGTTTATGTCTTTTAAATACTTAAAGTGGAGAAGAAAAGTCTGTATACACTACAAATCAACAGAAGGTTCAAAATACAAATTTCTAACAAAATAACACAGTTTTAGCAAAAGATTAAAAACAATGACAGCAAGGTAGCATTAAAAAAAAAAGTACAAGCAGACCAATTAACTGGACCTAGTAGCTTTCAAAATGTTTTAGAAGCTTGAATAAATGGAATAAAGTTTAAGTAGTTATGAACATGTATGTGCTGAATATACAGTGCTGAATATAGCACTGAACATATAAAGCAAAAAGCATTAGACATATAAGGAAAATACACTATAGCAGTATAAGAACTTTACATTTCTCACTCTTTGAGAAACAAGATGTTGAGAATCTCACCAGTGTTTAATGATATTAATTCTTATGTGACAAACTGTACCAAATGACATACTTTCTAAAGAAATATTTACAATATTTGCTTGCTAAATTTGCAGGCTAAAAAGATATCCTTAATAACCTCCCCAATGCAGACTACATATACTGACTATATGTAATATTAGAAAATGTTATTAATATATATATATATATATATATATATATATATATATCTCCAATGACCTGGAAATTGAAATGCACTATTCAGAATAATCCTTGGATCAAAAAAGCAATCACATTTGCAGCTATCAAATATTAAGAAAACAATGAAAACACAACATTCTTAACCTATGGGATGGAAGTAAAGAAATAATCAGGGAATTTGTACAATTAAAATTTTCTTTTTTTTTTAGAATTGGAATGAAGACAAACAAATGGTCAATTATTCAACTGAAGAGGTAGTAATAAATAAGGGAATTAGAAAGGAATCAAAGTCACAATGCTAAAATAAATGAAAAGGTAAATGATTAGATTTTTATTCCCTGGTGCTGAGAGGACAGAAGTGGAATGGGGCAAATCCTAACTAGTCTAACAAGAAAAGAGAAAAAACAAAGGAAATGGAATAATAGACAATGTTTTTAAAACACTGAGATTATTAAGTGCAACTATATGCTAAAAGAATTTTAAATATAAGATGGACTGTATGATGAATTCCAGAAAAAAGAAAATTACCAATGTCTACCCAAGAAACAGAACCCTGAAAAGATGAAGGACACATGAGGAAATAGATATACAGTGAAACAATTAGCTTCAAGAAAAAAGTCAGGTGTGTCTGGATATAAATAAAAGAGCATCAACTTAAAAAAAAATCATTTTCAGTATACATAAACCTTTCTAAATCAAATAAAACATGAGTTTCTAGTTTATTCTGTAACACTATCAAAACCTATTAATTAAAACCAGACCTACCTCTTATAATAAGTACAGGGTTAGTCAACAGAAAACAGCAGTATTTCTAATGAATGGCTCAGTATTAGATTCTACTAAGTGGCCTCTCATCAACAGATAAAGGAGAAAATATTTTACAATGAAAAAGCATTAAAAAAAAAATGAACATCTGATCCTGATAAATGGGTTTCATAAATATTAACATAATATTTTATTTCTAATCTATAGTTTAAATTATACATGAGTAAAATACTAAAAATTATACATGAGTAAAATCAGAAATAAGAATGCCAATTAACATATTGAATCAACTAGAAAAAATTAATGTGGCCAGTTGTTTTTTTTTTAATGACTGCTTTCCTATATAAGCAGGTGACTTCCCAGTTAGTGCTAGTGGTAAAGAATCTGCCTGCCAACGCAAGAGATGTAGGTTTGATTCCTGGGTTGGGAAGATCTCCTGGAGCAGGAAATGGCAACTTCCTTCAGTATCCCTGCCTGGAAAATTTCATGGATGGAGGAGCCTTGCAGGCTAACAGTCCATGGGGCTGCAAAGAGTCAGACATGACTGAGCACAGCACATACAAGCACACTAGCTTAAAATACATTGTTCATAACAATATGAAGAGCCCATTTCTAGAAGCAATAACAAATTTTGGAAACTCAAAAAACCAACATGTCAGAACCATAGTAAACTTTCAGAAATTTGAGGAACATGCGAAAAGCAAACAAACAAACAAAACCCCTAGTTTAAACAACTGATATGTTTCCAGTTAAAATCCTAAAAGGATGCCTTATGAAAGAGAGTCAAGTGATTCTGAAAGTAACAAGAAAAAATCGGCAGAAATAGACAAGAAAGCTTTGGGAAAAGGGACGATTAAATGATCTTCTGTCTCAAAACAAATACTATTTCCTGCTATATGTGCTACACACAACTTATGAAGAAAAAATACAAAGGTACTTCTACCAGAAAAGAAAGATCAGGGGTGGAACATAGCTGAAAGCTCAGAAACAGGCCCAAATAAGACATGATATTTTAAAACTAGGGATAGGATGAAACTGTCTAACAAATGCTGTTGGCATGATTAGTACAGCCATTCAGATAAAGTATAAAGTTGGACCCTTTACCTCACAAGATTTAACTATTTAACAAAAACAGTTTAGAATTAAGTGTAAAAGCAGAAAGCCAGAGAGTAAAATAAAATTGTGTAAAAAGTAAAATAACCCTGGACTAGGGTAAACTTTTCTAAGAAACCAAAAGGAAAAGATGAATAGACTTGACAACATATAATAAATTTTTCTTTATCAAAATACATCACACAGTATTTTTAAGGTTACAGTTTACAAAGGGCAACCCTCTTTATATAAAAGTTCTTCCAAGCTACTGGGAGAAATGCTTAATAACTAAACATATGAATAGTTAATAAAAGACACCTGGGTAGCATGAATTTGAATTTCACTAGTAATCAAAGAAATACAAATGAAAATGACTTCTCACCTGTCAAACTGGCAATGACTCAAAAATTTTAAATACCCAGCATAGCTAAATGAAAAAGGAAAGTAATAGGAATGTAAAACTTACAAACCTTTCCTGAGGGCAACGTGGACATAGCAAAAGTTTAGATGGGTACAATTCACACCAGCAACTCCAAGGAAATTATGTACATTTGTATGCTTCTACTTAGGTACATTTCCCTCACACTGTTGTTTGTAACAGTTAGAAATATTTTGTGTCTAGCAATGAGGAATTGTTAAGTTATGGTTATTCTATAAAGTAGTAATTTATAATCACTAAAAAGAGAGCAGACTTGAATTACTGACAAAGATGAATTTTCACAAAATATTCAATGAAAACTAGTTACAAAGCTATGGGAAGTATAATCCCACTGTTTTAAAAGATATCCATCAAAGGTAAAATATTAATAGTGGTCATCTCTGTATGTGTTCCTACATTTTTAAATATGTAAATATATAAGAAGAAAAAAAAATAAGGGTTCCAGGTTTAAAGTACTGTCTGTAAAACACAACAGTTGTAACAAGTGGTATATTCCTCACACCAGATGAGCTTATTTCTGAGTCTACTCTGTGTATGAGGCAAGAAGAAAACAAGGATAAAAATAGCCTGGATTTTTAGGGCAGTTTATTTACAGACTATCAAATACAGTCTTTTTTCTTTTGTTAGACAAATGGCTTATAATAAACACATCTGATTTAGGAGTTACGAGACTTTACTAAAAATTCTTGCAAAAAAAACCACACCTTGACAACAAATTAACTGTGAAAAAAATATAAAGTGATTCACTACAGAGCCTCATTTTCAATGTGGCATTTTCAATTAGAAAATTCTTTTTTAATGGGACATTTGATATGGTGAAAGAATAAGACCCACAAATGTTCTTCTACATAATTCAAAGAGCAAGTTCTTTCCAATATGATCAAAATTTTGTTTTCCCCACCTTCAACTGGATCCCCGACAGCTTTTCTCTTAATAGCTCTTATTTTTAATTATACTAAAAAGTTTAAGAATTACAAACATGAAAGAATTTAAAAGCAATGTTTGCAGGCCTGCTGATACCGATCTTCCTCCTCCAAACAGAAAATAAGTTTAAAGATTCAGTCTTACTCTCTAATTGTTAGTTAACTATTGTCTTAAAAAAGAAAATGAGGAACTTCCCTTCTAAAGGCTATCCATATATGAAAACAACTGTCTCTATAGGCTCCTAAGTTTTCCAAAATTTTATTTGCCTATTTTTTCTGAGGCCTTTTTTTAAGTTGACTTTTAAAAGTCATCTGTTAAAACTAGTTGTTCGGTATTTTAAATTTAATTATTTTAACAAAAGTACTTTAACAGTTAATTTTCTCATTTAGAAGCATTTACTACAGAATTCAGATATACCTAAGAACAACCCTGGTAATCCATCTAAATCTTATTTTTCTTAGCTGTAAAGAGATGGACCAGATTTTAGACTTTGGGGACATCCTACTCAGACTTTTAAAATATCAAAATCATTAACCTAGGGAATCACTGAATCTTTATTCAAATCTCGTATGTCAGCTTTACCTAAAAACAAAGGCAGGGGCCAGGTAAGGGAAAATCTAAAATTAGATTAAGTTCATACCAAATACAAAAAAACCTTAACTCGGAAATACTAGAAAGATTAGTTTGGAAGCATTTAGGCCATTTATCTTCTATTTTTCTTAAGAAATCTTGATACTTCTTACCAGTTGAGTTGCAAACTAGTCAGATCCAATTTAAAGTTTGCTTTCATCACTGAATTTCCAATTGTTCTATTTTTCCAGAACTTTGTCTCTATTCAAATTTGACTTCAAAATTTTACATAGACACATTTTTCTTACTTTCATGTATGAGTAATTTAGATACAGCTGAAGAGTTGCAAATACTACTTTGCTTTTTAAATATTCCTGCTCACTATCAGTCCACTGGAAGTATTACTTAAAGCCTTTCATGTTGATTGATGTACCCCAAGTACTAGAATAGTACCTGGCACGTGGTAGGCACTGAATATTTACATAGAGTTAAGCTCTGAATCATAGCTAAAGCCCTATCCTAATTCACATTCCACAAACTATTAATCAATAAACCCTTAACATGAGTCTTTTAAAATTTCATGGATGACTGGGACTCTCCAAAAAATAATGGATTGAAGACTTGGGAAACATACTGAGTTATACATGCAGAAAAAGCTGCTGTATCAAGAAATACATAAGGGAATTTCACATGGGAAATAATAAATATTTTCTTCTTTTAATAGGTCAATTTTTTGTATTTTCATCTCATTTGCAATCTGACTTACCTGTTTCTTCCCAAAAATATTTTATGCTCCTTCAATTTCACTCAAGAATACTGATTACTGCAGTTATAACATACAGAATTATTGATTTCATAGCCCTGCTCTTTTCATTAATCCAAATTTACTTTAGTATTAGATGATACAGAAGAAAGCATCAAGATTTTTACCATATTTCATCAATTTTAAGAAGCTGCCTTCCATATAACATCTCCGAACTTGGGAACTGTCTTAGCCTTGAGTTGTGTTTAACTGGCAACATTTTTCCTAACTAGTGTATCTTACAATCAATGCTGTCTTAGGGTAGTATCAGGAGCTGTAGTTCAAATTTTCGACCTCAAGCAACAATTTCCTTGTCCTCCCAGCCACTCTCCCAATATAAATATATAACTGAAATGTTAGGAAAAACTATCCAAACACAATTCAATTTTATATAAAATATTTAATTTTTAAAACACAGGCTATTCATGTCACATAAATAACTTCAATTTTAGGTTAGCTGCTATGGTCAGCAGAATTATCAAGTGTGACTATTAAGAATAACTTAGATACTGTCACTTATAGGAAAGTCTAAAGCTCTAAGACTCACCATATTAAAATTCTGGATACTTGAATACTGTAGCTATTTTGCTAAATTTCAAAATATTTCTTCACTTCCTGCAATGTAGTTTTAGTATAAGTTGTTAGTATTCAATATTCAAATAAAAGCATAATAATTTTCTTTCATTCGCTTCTCAACAAAAAAATTCCATCAAAAGATAAAATGGTCAACTGACATAAACTCATTTTATAGCAGTAAAATGGTAAATTATTCACCTTAAGATAATCCTATTGTCACCAAACTATAATGCTTTCCATATACTGTTTTGAAATGAACGTTCACAAGTCAGAGGGCACAAGATTAAAAGACTGACTTTGGAACTGGAGCAATATTCATTCAATAACAGTTGTTCCAATTTAAGATTTCAATCAAAAAATAAGTTACCAGGAAAACGATTTAAACAAAATGGTTAATTGGCATTTAGTGCTAATGAAAACACTGGTTATTCACCTTTGGTTCCTTTCTAGGATTACTGTAACGGTACTATAATGGAACATGTGTTTGAGTGTGCACAAAGAGACTTGACACCATTACAGTTTAAACAAGGGGCTGTTAGCCCATCATTCTAAGTGAACTAAAATAGGTACTCTAGGCGTGGCAGACGGAGTGGTAAACCTTACAGAAAGTGAGAGAGAGAATGAGGGGCTTTCGCACTACTTTTTCTTTTTACATCAATAAATTCAATCTAGGCAATGTTTCTAGTTAACCAGTAAAGTGAACAGAGTTAACTTTGTGTTAAATGGCAATTATATAATTTGAACAGTGGTGTTTGCCACCCCTCCCCCCATGAACTTTAACTGAATTATGCAAATTGTTATTAAGCCTTGTTTCTTTGCTACTGCCCTCCAATTACCCATGACAAAAGGAAACAGGGACAATGTGGCAGCCTGAAAGAAAACAATACTCTAAAATGCTCATTTAGCTATTACTTTCCACCGTTTAAATGACAGAACTTTTTAGAACTTTTTCTCAGAAGTAACAGAAGGTGCTGATGGGAGCTGGACTTTTATTCTCTGCTCTCACTCCCCTGTCAAGAGAAGGTGGTGTTGGAAGGTAACACAGCCCAAAGAAAAGAAGAAAGTGTGACAGGCAGAGGGAATGGACCTGACAGGAACTGAACAGGCAGCCCCTGGATGCTTGAGAGCTCTCTGCCTCTTCAATACAATACACTGATTCCCTTTAGAAGACAGATGGGTGTAAAGGTTTACTACTTTTTCAGACCTTAAGCTTACCTGTTAAGGCACTTACTTACCCTCCCCACCCCACCCATATTTTTCATATAAAACCCACTATTTCATTTGAATGCATTTTGCTAGGCTATGATAATCTGCAAAATAAACCAAAAATAACGCTGACCATTCTTTATATAAAACTGTTGCATCAAGAGAAAGGCTGTGTTTTATTTTCTGAAATGAGCACAAGTACACCTTTCACAATAACACTGAAAGCAGGTGCGAAGACTGACAGTGACCTCTGACTAAAGGAGCTTTGTAAAAAGAAAATACCAAATAAATCAGTGCCCTTTCTGATTGCTGTAAAACTGGGGGGGGAGGAGGAAGGGGGGGGACTGGGTGCTTGTTACATAAAAGTTGGTCCAAACTTACAAAAAAGCACAAATGTGCATAGTTCAGAAGATCTGCAAGAGGGCCATAAAAGACTTTTTATGTCCCTAAGATTAGCATCCACTTAAAACTGCAAGAATACAAAATAAAATCGTTAACTAGAATTTGTGAAGATGTACAATCAATAGATCTAGGTTTTAGAACAGCATGAATTTAAGCAAAGGTTTTTTTTTTTTGTCTTTTTTTTTTAACTATTGTATGCAAGACCCTTTTCCACATAAAAATAAAGCTGTTGTTGAATTAATATTATTCAAGTCTCTTGGATTGCTGCTTTAAATTGCAGCTAGAAAAGTCTTTCCAGATAAAAATGATGTGCCTGAGGAAAAACAGATACTCAGTATGGTAACCCTCTACCTCGACCTCTGCCAGCTGATGTGCTAATGTGTCCCCTGTATCCTTGTGAATAGCCAGGTCCTTGGGCAGGAGAAGTCCAGGTCTGTCCATGCATGAGGCCATGGCCACCTGGGTTTTCCTGTAAGTTACCACCATAGTTATAGTTGTGCATCTTTGCTGGCAGAGGATGAGTACTCTCCGGCCCTGTGGAAGGGTCACTGCTGTTAGCCAGCACTGCAATGGGGCCATGGCTATATTCAAATCTATGGTCCTTGTCTCCACTGAACAACATGGGGCCTGTATTGAGGTAAATGTCTCCGTATCCAGCTACCGAACTGCGAAATGACTCGGAAAAGGCAGAAGGCTGAGGTGGACCACTAGAATGAGATGAAGTAGTACTGTAGTTATCCAAGGACTGAATATCTGAGTTTCCCATGAAACTACGTCGTTCCAGTGGTGGAGCAGAGGCGCTTCCAAGACCGTCATTGCTAACATAAGGAGCAGAAGAGAAAGAAGAGGATCCAAAATTGTCCTTGTAGTCTGAAGAAGGTACATAAGTATCTCCTGCTTGGTAATCAATACCACTTTCTCTTTTGGGGTCATCCTGGGGCTGATGCTGAGCAAGGAGCTGTAACAGGGCTGCTTTTACTCCGGCATGAGGGTCAGTTAACGAAGAACTAGTGGTGGGTACGTGCTGGTTTTCTGTCCGGTAATCTAGATCTTCTTCAGTGACTGGCGGTGGTTCTGGAGGTTCAGGAGGTCGCTGATCAGGAGGCAGAATACGAGGCCGGTCCGGTTCTGGTGTGAGCTCCAATAGCCTCATATCTTGGTGCTGGATCAGGTCATCTTGCCCTAAGTGAAACAAAACGAAAAAGAGAGTTGAAAGTTACCATGGAAAACAAAATTTTCAAAATACTCAATGTTTCCTAAATGGCATAAGAAGTTCCATCTCTGGCAAAAAAACAACCAACCAACCAAAAACTCAAACAAAAACCACCCAAAAGTCAAATGAAAAATTAAAAGGTATATGTAAGTACTAACATTGCCTGCTACCATTTGAGTTTATGGTGACAGAAAAACTGTACTGTATTTGACTTTTAAAAGTCATCTCAAATGTACCTATCTATGGCTTGAACAAAAGCTACTACGTATGTGAAGCTTCTGCTTTGGTCAATCATCCAGTTATAACTGGAGTAAAAGATTACTTTTTTAGCATAGATTACAAGAGAAACATCTACAGCATTCATATGAGTTCTACTACCCACAGACAAAGAATCAATTCCTAGGAGTATACAGACTAAGAAACCAACCTATAACCAGTAACCTGAGTATTTTCAGGACATCAGCTAGCAAAGCTAAACAATACACATTACAGATAATCATCAACAGCAAGAAAAGAGACTGAGAGCAGCCAGGTCCGTGGTCTGCTGTCTGCACACTCACCCGACGCTGGCGTGCTGGGTTCTGGAGGCGGCCGGAGCTGTAATGGTGCTTCATGTCCCGACCCATTTTCCCTCTCTTCCAGCAGCACGTCTTTCTGCTTTGACTGCTGAGCCTTTATTAACTGAGTCAAGAGAACCGCAAATGCGCTCTGCACAGCCGCCTGGGCCGCATCAGGCTCCACTTTAGGCTGCATGTTCTGAGAAGAAGGCTGACTTCCTCCCAATGGTTTCGAAGACTCCTGTTGTGGTGTTGATGGATCTGTCTGTTTTTCACCTGTTGCCAAAATTCCAGCAGGAAGGTTTATTTTATTTAGCTGCTGCTGAGTCTCAGAGTTTACCTTAATGTTCAACACTTGGACAAAATCAGCCATATTAACACTTGTTTTAGACTGTAGTAGGTTTAGCAGAATTGCCAATTCACTGTGGTTTAACTGCTGTCCAGGGCCTGTTTTTACTAAAGACAAAATTTGTATTGGTTAGAATTGCCATAATTCATAGCTCCCCCACCCCACAAAATGCCTCTGTATTACCATATTAAAATGTACATGTGTGGGACAGTGTTTAAGAAATATTGTGAAAAGGGAATCTTATTCTAGTTCAATTTCATGTACATTTAAGATGTTAAGTGCACATAAGTTAAAACAAAAATGAAAAAGAACTGCAGCCCATTTTGAATAAATTATCTTTACGGGTAAATACTTCAAACGGAAAATCAAGACCAGCATTAGAAGCCCATACTATAGACATGACCAGGAAATCGCACCTGTGAATGGGCACTGGTGATGATGACAGCTACAATTTCAGGTTACTCTCTGAGCATATCCTTTATTCCTCACAACAACCGTATAAGGCATGCTTAATTACTGGCCCCACTTTTAAAAAAAAACAAAACAAAAAAAACTGAAGAAGAAACTGGTATCCAGAGAGACTAAATAACTTGCTTAAGGTCACAAACTCTCTAAGTGGCAGAAATGAGACTTGAACCCAGATATTCTGATTCCAGAGTCTGAACTTTAAACCATTTTCTATACTGCTCGTCTAAAATAATGCTTCTTTTTTAAGAACCTAAGCTTATCTTTGCAGTAAATTCAAACTGGATTTTATAGACTGACTGATATAATGTCTTTTATTCAAATTGCTTTTATTTAAAGTTAAGCCCTCTGGGTAAATTAGGAACTTCTACAGAAGCATGAGTGTCATGTACATATATGTGTGTGTGTGTTTATAGTCACTCGGTCGGTCCAACTTTTTGCAACCCTTTGGACTGTTGCCCACTGGGTTCCTCTGTCCATAGTATTTTTCAGGCAAGAACACTGGAGTAAGTTGCCATTTCTGACTCCAGGGGATCTTCCCTACCTAGGGATCAAACCCGTATCTCCTGCGTCTCCTGCATTGCAGGCAGATTCTTTACCCAAGACATCAGGGAAGGCTATTTACATATAACATGGCATTAACTCATCACCTATAAAACAGGTTTTCTTTCTTTTTCTAATTTTCTATTTAGACTTGTGATGGTTTATATAGGTTCTTATGCAGCAAACTTACCTGAGTCATACGTAACACAAAGGCCCTGTACGTAATACCATATACATTAAGTGATAATACAGATACTGATAAGCAATTTCTATAACCACAGATGACAGACTAATAGAATTCTAAGATGAAAAAGTGATGATTAATTCTATTTTTAATATATTCTATTTACATATTTTAGATATTCATTGTTTCTTAGTATTTTTTTAGATTAATTGAAAACAAATTCTTGAGAGTTCTTATGATCTGTAGTTATTAGTAAGGAATTGTGCTTATTTGCTACCCTGTTAAGAGCCAGTTTTCCTCATTTTCCCTTTCACTTCTCTATTAGCAGATGCAGTCTCCATGTGAGCTCAGAGTACACTTTAATTATGGTGTCTCATCTACAGAAAGGATATTTTTAGTTCATGACACTTACTGGTGATGTGAAAAAAATGGAGCTAAGAAGATTCATTCCTATTTCAAAAAACTAGAATAACAGCGACAGTTTGAATAGAGAAGAAAGAGAAGAAGAAAAAAATGAAACTCTACCATTAACAGAGTTATAAACATGTAGAGCTAAGAAATAATATAAAATGAGCCCAGATTTCATTTTTAATCAGCTAAAATAAGAGTACAATAACTATCTTCTATTCCACTAGTCTTGCCAGTGGAATAAGGACATCAGTTTCATGAAGAGAAGTAGAAATAAAGACCTGGTATTTTTCTTAAGGAATATGACAACTGTTACCTGGGACAAGTGACCACCATCCAAATTACTTATAATCATCTCAAAGCTTTTTTCACTAGTTGATGGTATAAAACAAGTGACACAAACACAAACCAAGAAAACTTCTGTTGCTTCTCTTTTGTCTTTCTCCAAGTTTTACTATTTTAAACATGAAGAGAAATGATATTAAACTCGATATAGATAGCCCTCACTTTGTACAACAAAGGTGTAATATTCACACAAAGGTGTGATATTCCTAAGCTACGAATATCAAGTATTTTCATGTACAAGGGGAATTCACTATTTCAAGAAACTCTAAAGAATACTTCTGAAAAACAAGTCACTAATTTTCATTTTTAAAGTAACATTAACACTTTATGTAGTCTGACCAAGGTCAGTCAAGTCTAAGCTTGTAGATCATATGAGAAAGTATTAAAGGTAATCTTCCTCAAGCTTTCTCAGCTAGTCTACTCTATATTATACTTAACCACCAAAAGTTCAATCTGATTCACAGATGTGTTTTAATCAACTAACTCATCAGTCAATATTTACTCATCTCTTAATAAGTTTAGGACTATTTTTCATGTTTAATAAAACACCACACACACGTGTATTTATTTTTATCATATCTGTCTTCATAAAAAAATTAAAGTGAAAGTTTTCTGGATTCTTGAGGCAAAATGAGGGAGTGGACTCTATTTTTTTGTTAATTGAAGACACTTCTAATAACACTGAAGAGATTGGTTTCTCATAAAAAAGCTTACTCTTGTAACAGATTGAATCAGAGGAAAAATTTAAGTTTCCTCAAAATACCCTTCTTTATCATACTTCAAATCATTTTGGACACAGTGTCAGATTTCAGTCTTTGAAATTCTGTAACAGAGTGGGAAATATTTTAAAAGTGATCTGAGGACATTATAAACGGTATGAAAGAGCTTCTAGTATGATTTCTGACTGTTTTCTTGTATCTTTCGCCCTCCTCCTCAAGAGCATCCACAGACACTGAATGCAGAGCCTCAAAAAACAGTGTTAGTAAAAGATTTACTGACTCTTGCACCAAGGGAAAAACTAGAGAATTCCGACCAATCACTAATCATATGTAATTTGATAGTTAATAAATTAATCTTACCTTGAGAGTGCTTAATATTATGTTGCTACAGCAGTGAAACATCTGTACTAGCACAACCAAATAATAAGGAAATGTTAAATTCAGTCCTCATCTTTTATCCACAAGAGCTTTAACACTACAGCAATATAGTTAATGGCAACCACAAAACAATGTGAAGCAAACCAACCCATGAAGTATTACTGACCAGGTGCTACATTCGAGTTGCCCTGAGACTTCAGCTGTGAAGACGGCAGCACACTCTGAGGTGTGCTAGTTCTGCTGTCATCCATGCCCAGAGACAAGTCCTTTCTGGGGGCTTTAATTGTGGAAACATCATCAGTCATGCCCATCTGCTTCTGTCGTCTTCGCTTTTTACTCCATAATTCATGACAATCTTGCCATAATGGAAGGCTGGGGGCAAAAAGTATTAAATTGTTTGTCAACAGCATCTCTTAACAACAACAACAAAATGCTAATACTTAGCGTATGCTAATATACAGCAAATATATAGCAAAATGCTAATATACAGCACCAAAGCTGCCACCCCGACTCCCCTGCAAGTTTTCTTGAAGATTTCACACACAGGTCTTATAAATCCTCCAACACAAATCATCCACATGTCTGTACAGATTTCACCTATACAGACAAACTGTTTTTCTGTGGCTTCTGTATAATCAATGAATAAAAACTTATTAAAACTATGAATGAAGAGTAAATGTTCATAAAAGTAGGTTACTATTATCTTTGGTGCAATCTTTTAAAGCCAATTCTCACACTGTACATTATACACTGAATAGGACATGAAAAAAAGGTGAAAAATATGCCACTTGCAGAAAATAGACACAGAATTAATAAGTAGCAGAGGCTAGGACATAACGTTTGTGAAAAACTTTCTAGTATGAGCTTTTTACTTTTTGATATCCTCTTATTTGCTTCTATAATCAAATGCTCTAGAATTAAACTGATGCTAAAGAGGAGTTTCAAAAACAGACTGTAATCCAGGCTTATCACTGATACTTATCATTGAGAGTTTTGAATAACTAGCAACTATCAAAGTTATCCACAATTCTCAAACAATTTTTTGTGTAATTTCACAGAATTCACAACACTGAAGAATAACTTTTGCTTAAGAAAGACTTAAATATTTGATTTATAAATATTTTCTTCTTACCCTAATAAAAAATCCAATGGGAAGTTACAATGATATCTATTTTAAAGATAAGAAAATTGAGGCTTGGAAAGGTTAATAAACTTGCCCAGAATATCTATAAATTCCCTTAAGCAGCCCCAACCTAATCTTCAACCTGGATATGTTTACCTCTAGGGATACAAGAAGATTTTCTGATGGGGTATACCTGAAATTGTTCTAAAAGTTCCATATCCATGTGTCCGCTTTCCTAAAACTGATCTTTGAGAAGGGCCTGCATGTTCAGAAAGTTCTTTCACACGTCCTCTTTCACAGTTTTATCTCATGTTATAAAATAAAGGCATATGCAACAATATTGTCGAATCTTAGCAATATAATATTAAATTTTTTTAAAAAGTCATTCCCAAAAGATTACAAACAGCATGACACTTTCATAAAATTAAAAGCAACTAAAATTGTAAAATGTAACTTGTTATGAGTACATTTAGATGGCAACAAAAAGTATATACAAAAGAAAACAGGGATGATGGTTACCTCCAGTGGAGGAACGCAAGGGGGATAGGTCATGGGCGGAGAGGATAGGATATGAGTAACATAAGTTATTGTCAAGGTTCGAGCTTTTATTCGGTAAGTTCATGGCTGCTTATTAACATCATTTAAAATAACTAAGTGACTAAAAGAATAAAAGAGAGCCATGCATGGACCAATGATGAGTGACACAAGAATTATGATTAAACCAAGTCTATGCACCTGAGGTCCAAAAACAAAACAAAGGCATACCTCTCAGTCATCTTACTATGATGCATTGCCTCAGCGTGTAAAAACCTCCTGGAGTAACAAACAAAGGGACAATTTGAAATATTGATATTGGGAAGCTTTAAGGCATCATAAACCTGCCAAAGACTTTCCTTTCTGTATCTGTGTGTGTATGTGTGTCTGTGTGTGTCTCTACATACATGTGTTATAAGGTATGTAACCTTAGCCACTGTTGGGGTTATTCTGAATTCAGACATACCGCAGTACTGTAGTAAGGGGGCTAGAGTGATTTTATTTTTTCCATGTTGATGTTCAGAGAATGCATTGCTCTTGTGGGAGAGTCCCATGAGAATACAGCAAAGAAACCCACTAAAGAGGGATTTTGTTCCCTTCCACAATTTAAAGGTAAGAGACTTGTTATGGATGATCTCAACACTAGGAAAGATAAACATTACCCAACAAATAGTAATAGGTTAGTGATGCTATTAGATGTACTGGGAATGTTTCCAGGACAACCAAACTTTTAATGTGCTTTTTTCTAAACGTTCAAATACAGGCTCAGGCACTTATTGTGTCTCATAGGCAAGTAACTTGACCTCTGTGCCTCACTTTCCTTATCTTTAAAAACGGAGTTAACAAGACAATCTACCGTGTGGAGTAGAAGTAAATGTATGTTAACATATGTAAGCACCTGGACAGTGCCTTTCACACAGCAAGCATTATATTCATATTTCATCATTCAGAAAGGTAGTTTGAAAGTATTTTGTATTTAATCAAATCACAACATATTTATTCCATTTACAGTTGATCATATTTATCTTATGAATTGTTTAAAGCCTTTTACTGGCTTTTAAGGAAAAATAACGTTATAGACTAGTTGCTAGCCTAATCCACTTTTTAGCAAAGTGCACTATTTCATTACATACATTAAAAAAGTTTGACAGGATATCTAGTAAAATTAATGAAATTTATTTTTAATACTATACTCATTTGATTATTCCTAAAAAACTGTTAACAACAGTTTAATACATATGCCATTTCCCAAAGCAATACCAATGCCTTTCTTTATAGTTCTCACCTTCACATTTTACAATTTTAACTACCATTACATAAGAAAATAATAAAGAGATATGTTATACTATGTATATAGCCTTTTATTTAAATATCACATCAATATCATCATAATTTCAACCCGACTGCTTTAGTGATGTAACTGATAAAGATAAATCCCATAATTTATTACTGGTTGAATAGAATTTTCACCAAAATGTGTACTAACATGTTTATTTTTAATGGAAAAATATAGTCCAGTGTGTTCTGATAAAAATTAAATCAATTTAGGTTATGTGTTTGACAGTATGAACAGAGTTTCCTACAAGGTTATGTGGCAAATATTTTCCATAAATCAAATGGGATGCATCTACAGTTTCCAGATTCTGACAAAAGCATATATTTTTAATATGTAATAAGAAATGCAATTTAACAAATGCATTAATTGGTTAAGTAGCACTGAAATTACATGCTGACTTCCTAAGTGCAAATAAAAGAAAAAGTAACAAGTATAAGAAGTCATGTAATAAATATTGGTAAAGTTCTTTGGTTTATTCTCTCAAAATTTGAAAAAAATAAATGATTAATGACTGGTTAAGAAATCTTTTCCAAGTCATGTGGTTTCTAATTCTTTGCTGTCAAGAAAATTAGAAAAAGACTCTTAAGTTGACATCTGAAAGGTCATTAAAATAATTTTTGATGACGGAGCACTGTGATCTTCGGGACATAATATCTAAGAAGTTCAAAAAACTCAGTGATTTAACTATGACAAAACTCCATCCAGTCTCAAATGCTTATTTTAAAAGGGTACTTAGAAAATTTTTAAAATTACCATTAATGTGGAACTACATCTCATTCTAGAATATGTAACATTAACAGATATGCAAATCACTTGAAAAAAAACTCAACTCTATTTCATTAAGGTTGTATCTCTGATAAAATCTATTATTAGTTTTTTTTTTTACTAAAATATGCACTACTGATTAATTAAGAAGAAAAAGCTTTGTAGTTAGAGGAAATTTTTAAATTAAATTCCCACTCATATATATATACTTATTTTAAAGAAGTACAACAGGGTAATCAATAAAATATTTTCAAGCATAAATATATGCTACATTAAAAACCTGCAAAAGCAATGTAAGTTCATACATACACACACAAAAACCCAATGATGTCCAACTGTTGAAAAGTCTGTTCATACATTTCTAAGTGAATATTGATTAATATCAAATGCTAAGGTATTTTGATTCCACTAGATACATTTACAAGATAACTGCTGTATTTAAAAGTATCTACAATTACATACTGAAAGTTGTATCTTTTGCAACTATTTAAACCCTTGATTTTAAAAGTTTAGATGGCAGTTTAAAATGTGCTCAATCCAGTTTTACCAGAATTATTTTTGTGTGGACCACTTAAACCAAGAAATCAATTCAGTACTACCAATAATGGGAGAAAAATTACATTACATTCCTCTTGATATTATATAGCAAGAAATACATATCATCACCCTAAGTAGTATTCTTGCTAAAAAAAAACCAAAACTACACTCCAATTACTGGTTACACTAGTTCTGATCATGAGGAAGTAATTAAAGCCAGACTGTAGAATGCTTTACAAAATAGCTAGCTCATCAAAAATGTCAATGTCATAAAAGTCTTCCCTGGAGACCGAAGAGACATGACAACTAAATGAAATGTGTGAGCTTGGAATAAATTCTTCACCCAAAAAACCACACCAAAACAAAACAAACAAAAAACAGAGTATAAAGGCAATTATTGGGCCAACTAGATAAATTTGAATATAAACTATTAGATATTTAAATGTTAAATTTCCTGTGTTTCATAATGATATTGTAGTTATACAGAATAAACTCCTAGTTCTTATACATAACATGGTGAAAGTGAAATGTTATTTCCACAATAATCAAATAGTTCGGGGAAAAAGATACAGAGTGCTAAATATGTCCAAATATCACTTAAGTGTTGAATCTAGATGAAGGATATATGAATGCTCATTGTATTATTCTATTTTCTGTATAGAGTTGAAAATTTTCAAAATCAAAAGTTAAAAGGGTTGTACTAAAGCCAAAATTTCAAGACTGCTGACATATACTATAAGCAAAAAAAAAAAATCCATGAAACAATTCAACAGTGAGTGATTCAGGTTCCTCAGCATGTCAGATGATGCCTTTCAAAACATCTCACAAAGGCTATTCATATACAGTTCAATAAAAAGTAAAGCCAAGTATGATGGATCTCACAGAACTGTAGTAAGAGCAGTTTCATTAATTAAGCAGAAGAGTCAGGATTTGAACACCAAAGCCCATGTTTGTTCATTCACAATATGCTAACTGTTATTACATAGACACACTTTGTTGTTATAGGAACAGGTTTGCTTTCATGACACTCATCATTTTCAAAATTACTAACAAAATCTCTACAAACTTTCCAGGTTCTATCAAGAAGAATGAAATGGACTGCTTTATCCCCTTCCCCAAATCAATCCTAGAGAAATTACAGGAACCACAAAGGAGTGAAAGAGTCAAGAACTCAGCCATTCTGACTCCCATACTCTATGCATTGCCTGCCTCCCAACCCCAACAACAGACAGTAAACTCATTCTATACAGGTTTTTGATGCTAATATTCTTTCATGCAGTGATAAGGATTATCTATTGTATAGTCTGCTAAGGAGTATTTCAGAACCTCTTTTTGTTATAGAACTAACTCGAATTTGATAGCTGGCTTCACCCTTTACTAGATTTGTATTCTTGGGCAAGTTTCTTAACCTCTCTGAACCTGTTTGCATCTCTGTAAAATGGCGATAATAATACGCACTTCCTAAGATTATAAAGATTAATGCACTATACACTGAGAAATGCTTAGCACAGCACTCAAGATTTTAGCTACAGCAAGTAATATTGATAGAAGCAGTACTACAATAGCAGCAGCAGTGACTTGTTTTTAAGCGCTGAACTATATTAATAAAATTAGCTACAGGAAAGCTGCTTTTACTGGTCTGATGTTTAGTTGAACATTTGATGTGCAAATTATATGTACTAGTGCTATTCTATTTATTTTTCTTTTGACTTAACTAACCACAGAATAGCTTGATAGTAACATACAGATATTATTAAAATTGTCCAAATTTTGCATATGATAAAAAGTTACTTACTCTGGTGGAGGCATTTTTGAGGGTTCCACATCCCGCAGGAACTCACACTGAAGAGCCTGCTCTGCAGTGCAGCGCTTACTAGGATCCAAGGCGAGCATGTAATCAAATAAGTCTAGTGCGGCTGCAGGAATACTGGCATGAGAGGATTACAAGTCACGCGAGTTCTTTGACTCAAGTTTAATGTTTCTGTAGGAGCTTAAACATTAGCATTTTGTAACATGTTTGCAACAGTTTATTCCAATAAGTTACAAATCTTCCTTTGAAGAAATGCGTATTTTTTTACATAATTTTGTAAATTATTCTAAATAATTTGAAAACTGGCAAACAATAGCATATTTACTACTCTGTGGGCAATTTGCTGTTTTAACATTAACTAAAAACTGAACAGAATAGTTTCCTACAACAAAATAAAAAACTGAATTCAAGTATCTTGAAAACTGTTTCATTAAAATTTTAAATGATATTGTTAAACTTCTCTCAGGTAAACACTAAATCAAACACACAACCCCAAATAACTGATTTCATAATGATGGTGAAATGCTTATTTGCATGTAGCAAAGGGACATTCAAAATTAAATGATATAGTAGAATTGTGATAGGTCTACCTTAGGTCAACAGAGGCTAGAGTGACATTTAGAATTCTAAAGAAGTAACTTTGTAAAAATCAATGCAATATAGATGTTTAAGCATCCCCTTCTTACAAAACAAATTCTTCTCTTAACTTTCGACGATATTGCTTCTTTGGTTTCATGGTGTTGAAATATGGTAGTTTGATTACATCAGGCCACACAGCAGGACATGGACTCCCACATATACGGCTAAACAACACACAAAAAGAAGTACATCAATATAAACTACATGGAAAAAATAATACATACAACTGCTATACAAAACAACTCCTTTTTAAATATACAAAAGCTGAAGTTCTGATATAATGTATAAAAGTTTCATTAAATATTTTAGTCATCCCGAATAAACTGTTTTAAGAATTTCTTTTCAGTGAATGCTTCTAGCACTCTATAAACATCCCAATTTCTAGCAAGAAAACCTTCATATTTGCAAAATCAAATCTTAAAGACACAGGTAATATTCAAAAGGTTGAGCATATTTGGAACCAAAATTTTAAATTTTTATACCAATTGAGGAACTAGAGTTTAGTATATGTATTCTCTGGTTTTGCAGGCACCTATCATTACCACTTCTCATGAATATAATGAAGTCTGCAATAACAGCAGAAAACATTTCCTACCTTGAAGACACTAACTAAACAGTATAGACTGCTGCTGAATTTGATCAACTAGAGAACCCTAAAAGTCACATTCCCGAAACACAGTTCTTCAATTTCAGTAGTGCCTCTGATTTCAAGGTATTTAGAATGTTTAACTGCTTTACTCTCTGTATCTTGAAATCCCTCACTATTCTTATAGTAAGTCCTTCATGAACTAAAGAAATGCTGTAACAGGTAACTCTAGCTGATAAACATTTTAAAATGCTTTGGTAGTATGTAGATGAAAAACTGGTTAAATATGCTTAACTCAAGTATATTGAATCTCAGGAATAAATGTGTATCTTATGTAAAATTACCAGCTGACCTTCATATATAAAAAGAAAAGGTCCATGCATCACTGACTCAAAAGTAAAAATATTCTACACATACATAAATACACGTACTAAGGTACAGAAGCAAGTGACAACCAAAGTTGCCAATCTTCAGCAGACCTTAAGATCACTAATACATTAGAAACATTTATACCAGATGATGGGAGCATTTTTAAAGCTGTGTCACTGAAACTGTATTTTGTTTCAATACAGTTTAGGATTTTTGTAAATCCAAGCTTTTAAGATCTTACTCTTCAATATGCCTATCTCTTATTCCTTTCAATCTCATTCTCACAAGTTCCTCAAAAGGAGAGAAGGCCAAAAAGGAGCATGGCTCTCTATGATCAGGTCCCAAACTGTCTTCCTCATTCTCATCTTCCAATTCATCTCTCCACAGGCCAACCACTCCTGCATGTCTTTGTTCATACTCCTTTTTCCTAGATTCTACCTAGCTGAATCCTTTTCATTCCTGAAGATGCACATCAAAAATAATCTACGTACAATGTTTTCTGTATCCTCACTGTCCAGAATAGTCACTTTCTACATGCTCCTGATTTCTTTTGACACTATTTCATCCTGCTTTACATTTTAGTTGTTTACATGACTTTATCTTACTAAATTATGGTAACAGAATCACTCTTGCACTTTCATATACCACATAAATATAAATAATCAATCCCTCGCAGATTGATGTGCACCATAACAGAAGTATAAAATACACTGGAATAAAGAAAATTAAGGACACTTTAAACTACAAAAATATAAGAAAATGTACCTGAGTTAGAGAAGAGATACAGAATTTTGCCTACAACTCAAAGGATAAGTAAACAATAAACAGGTGGGAAAGGGAATAAGAGAAATATGTTACTGGCAAAGATTAGTGCACAGGCAAAGTCATGAAAATAGCAAAGTATAAACATTCGGGAGGCAAATCAAGGAAAGTGGTACAGGTGGAATTTGGGGCTACAGAGGCTTATTTGGAAACACAGACAGGGGTCACACAATAGTCTTATGAGGCAGACTCCTAACTACAAGACAGACTCTGAAAACAAACTTTAGACCTAAACGCTATCTGTGTGGTATTGGTATAATTGTGCTGCTTAGAATCTGTTGCTCTTTTGTAAAATGGAGATTCATTTTATTTCAGAGCTGTGAAAGTAAATGATCCAGCATCTGGCTCATTAATAGCCTTATAATAGAAATCAGCTTCATTATCTCATAGCCAAAGACTTTTATGTATTCTGGGAAGATAGTTGACTGGGAAAGTTATCTAACTGGGAGCAGCATACAGGATGGAACACACATTCTAAGACAGGGAAAAATTTTAGAAATTAGGGAAGCAGACATGACAGCAATTGATAACTGCATTTTAGCAAAATCAGTGCCTGATAATCAATTAGCTATCCCTAAATCATTTTTGAAGACGTTCTGAAATGCATCATACGCTAAATCTCTAAATATCTGAGATCGTTTATGGGAATCTATTTTGATCTGATTTATCTATTCTGATGTCAATATCATACGAAATTCACTTTACATTTTTCTTAAGACAAGACAAACCCCACTATGTACTCATTTCTCTAATTATCCTTTTCAGGATTTCCTTACAGATGAATTGTAGAATCAGTACTGTCACATTCCAAAAGTAAGAGAATCCTTGTTGGGATTCAACACAGCTGCTCTGGATTAAAGAACTGTGATCTTTACAAAGCTTAATGTTTCAATTTTTATATTTCCTTTGGTTTTATACAAGCATCTCTCATTTTACTACACTTCTCATTTTTTAATTTAAACAGATTTCAAGTTTGTGGTAAGCTTGCGTCAGCAAGTCTACTGACACCATCTTTTCAACAGCATTTACTCACTTCATGTCTCTGCATCACATTCTGTTAATTCTCACAGTTATCTCAAATCCTCCTTCACAAGAAGTTTACAACTTGCTCAAGGCTCAAACGATGGTAGGTACTTTTAGCAATATAGTATTTTTAAATTAGGACATATACACATAATACTATTGCATATCTAACAGACTACAGTATAGTGCAAATATAACTTCATATGCATTGGGAAACCAAATAATTTTGTGAGTCACTTTACTTTGATACTCACTTTATCATGGTAGTTTATAACCAAACCTGCAATAGCTCCAAAGTTTACTTGTATCAAGTTCTTCAATTAGATTTGTGTTTCTTTTTATGGGGTTTAGTGTCATTTTTTGAATGTGTTCCTATCCCTACTGTATTTCCTAAGCAATAATTAGAAGAGTTTTGTTAATGGAAATGGTCAAAATGTGGCAAAAAATTTTTTAGAATGCCATCTGAGATCCTATGGTTCCTAATAGTTTTTTTAAATAGTTGTTTGTTTGAGGCTTTCCAGGTCTATTATCATAATCTATAATCAGAATACATCTGTTATTTTTTCAAACATGTATTCTTCTTTATCATTATGGTATGCTACATTATGTGGTAATTTCCAAACAATGTTAAAATGCTAACGATGCTACACAATATTTGGTAATATTTTGGTTTCTGATTAATGGGTTTTTTGGCTTCTGATTTTACTTTCATTGTTTACCAGTGGGAAGAATGGTAACTTCTGGTTTGAGAAACACAACATATGGTAAAGATAGTAACAGACAGATACAAATTCACACATACCTCCTGCCAAGCAAGCATTAATTTCTTTCTTTTTACTTTGGGTTTAATTGTTGTGACTTTCAAATTTCAAAAGAATGCTTCTTTAGTTCTATCAGTTTGATTTTTAGAAACTTTAATGTAGCCATCATCTGCATTTTTTTACTTGGGTTACTAATATCATGAATTATATTAAGAGATTTTCTAATACTTAGTCATCCATACATTCAAAAGAGGAACAGTTCCTGGGCCTAATCAAAGTACAAGTTTTTAGCATAATGCTGTATTCTACTTTTTAATTGGTCTACATCAGCAGTTTGCAAAAAATGGGGTCCCCTAGACCCTTCAGGGGTCTGGTAGATCAAAGATACTTTTAAAACATCTTTTACACTTTTCAATGTGTTGGCTTTGCACTGACAGTATTAAGCCAACGGTAGAAAACACTGGCACCTTAGCATGACTTGAGGCAGAGATGCCAGACTATTAGCAGTACATACTCTTCAACACCCCTTGATGGGGTAGGGAAGGTTTTCACTCAAGAATGCACTTTTCGTTGAAAAGTAAAAATTATTGTCATTAAATTCTAACACTTGAGTGTGTATCTTTTTAATATTCTTAGTAATGAAAGAGAAGATACATAAAGCACTTCCGCTGCACAAAAAAAAAGTGACAGTTATCTTCAGAAGCACTTGTACAATAATTGAGTTGCAAGCTGCTGCTTTTCTCATGAGCCACCATTTTTACCTACAAAAAGAACTATCAAACTATGGTCAATGACTTGGGTATCTGCCAGACATTTTCTTATATAGGAATGAATTCAGCTTGCTACTTCAAGGAAGACAACTGAAGTGTTTTCAATTATAAAATTCAAGCTGTCAGGACAAAGTCTAGAATACTAAAAGACTTATGTCTGCACTGTAAACCTAAAAGCTTCAAAATAAATACCTAAAGGCTTTTCTCATGAGATTAGTGTCATAACAAGAACTATAAAATGAAATGTTACATTTACAAGATCTGCTCAATTCAGTGATCCAATATAGATTAAGTGACCCACACATAATGTTACAAAATCATCAGGGATAAAAGACTCATTCAGAGTGTAAGATACACCAATGGGTTTCAATATATTAGAGTACAAAATCAGTGGTTACAGACTGAATATTACAAATAACCTGTTTTTAAAAAAAAAAAAAAAACAACCTGCCACTCACTGCAGTTTCAATGAAGAATATGCACAATTATCTGAAAAGACTACTGAAAACATCATATCACAGATGTTTATCCATATGTTTATTAAGCCAGACATGCAAAATTTTTAAAAATGTGAAAACAATCTTATTCATTTCACCATTTATTTTAGTTTGGAAAAATATAAACTTTTTACAATTAAAATGTTATGCTAACATATTGTTTTAAAATGAATTAATAAATATTTTTAATTCTCAGTCTAAATTTCAATACATATCATCAACATAAACAAGCCTCTGGGATTTTTCACAATGTCTAGCAGTGTAAAGAAGTTCTGAGACCAAAAAGATTAAGAAGTACAAGTCTACAGAATTTTTTATGCTACCAATTTTTATGCTACTGATTTTATAAAAGGATACATGCTTCACTTTTTAAAATATACGAACGTTCCTTCATTTCCAATATTCTGGAACAACCAAAGCCTATGCCTTTAAAGTTTTAAAAACTTTACCTGTGTGACCTGAGGCTTTGTGTATGTGAAGGGCAGGAGAGAGGGTAGATTCTTCTCATTCCAAATCTACTTTCTTCCATGATTAGTTTTTTGTTCCCTAAGCAGTATACATTGTGTGATAGAAGCTTCTTTCACTGGCTGCCCGAACACTTCAAAGTGTGACTCTCATGTAGAAACATTTTTGCCCGCATTTATCCCTTTTTTGTCCCCACCTATGTTTTTCACTCTCCTTGCCATTACTTTTCAATTTAAGCCACTTATCATAGAATTTCTGTAATATGCCTAAAGCATTTTCTGGAATCAGGTGAAGTACAAATACTTCACTACAGTGTAAAGTGACCACTACAGTGTAAAGCTTTTTAAGACAGATTCTGATTAGTATTATCATCCTTAATACATTTATATGTATTTGTTCAATGCAGACCCTAGAACTCATCATTCCTGAGGCTTCAGACTGGGGAAACATTCCAACATTACTGCAAGTAAGATAAGGGGAAGAGTATATATTAGCAAACTTACATTTATTTAATTTTTACAATCCTAAGCATATTACTTGTTTAGCCCTCCAGATAAACATTAAAATCAATCAGTGTTCAAAAAATATCCTCTGAAATTCTCATTAGGACTGTAACAACTACTAGAGGATGAACTGCCATTGTAAAAAAAAAAAAAAAGGCTTCCTAGTCAAAATAAAAGATATGCCTCTCCAACACTTAACTCAAATCTTCTTTACCGTTGTAGGTGAAACTGGTTAATATTCATAAATAATCTTTAAAAGCTATTTTTTTAAGCTATTTCCTTCAGAATATATGTATTAGTATATACACCTCTATTGGGTTCACTTTTCTAATACTATTAATTATCAGTATCTCTAAAACACTCTTAAAATGATGATACCACAAGTTAACTTTTTCTCTTTCTTACCTTTGTTTCTAGTATTTTACCAATAAACATGACTTAGTCAGTTTGTGATACATATTTTTATCATAGTAAGGAAATATGCCTCCACACTTACTTAATTAGGAGTTTGTAATTTCAGCAAATGCCTATTCAACAGCTATCAAGATAAACATACTGTTTTTTGTCTATTAAAATGATGAATTATAATAAAGGAATACCTAAAGCTAAAACATTCTTGTATTTTTAGGATTATCCTACTTGACTTTGTAATTTTTAATAAAACATTAGATACCACAGGCTAATCAGTTCTTTTAGAATTTTTATATTAATGTCCTGTAGAAATTTCTCAGGCTTTCTTCATTAATTTTTGGTGTTTGTGGCATAGTAACTAAAGCTCCGGGAAGTTTTGTTTCCCACATAGTATAGAGAATGAACAGTTTCTAAGATAAAAGTACTTAGATTCAAATCTCAATTTTGCCACTTGCTAATTTAGTTGTACGACTTGGAACAAATTCTTCACCTCTATAAAGTTCAGTTTTATTAACTATAAAGACAAGACACAACTGAAGTAACTCAGGTGAATTCTTAGAACAATATTTGCATCATGTATAAACTAAATAAATAACAACATCATTGATAGAAGCCCCAGTATCCAATCCAATTAGGAACAATATTTGGCTAATAGAAAAAAATGGGTTAGAAGAAATCATTACCAAAAGAAAAAGAAAGGTACACAGATACATGATTTAAACATTTTATTTTAACTAAAAACATATAAATGTATATTTCCCAATGTTCTGACACAGAGCCATGGCCTTCTCTTTCAAGAGAGGATTCAGAATGGGGTTCTACATTAGCTTTCTTGCACAAACCACAGCCATAACATACCATCAAGGATTCCAAGCAATCTGATTATTAATTATTCTAAATTTGTATGCCTTTTCTTTCTTATAGTACCCTGCACACACCTAAATAATTTAATAGCAATGTTAAGTCTTTACAAAGCACATCTGTCCATAATTGAACATATGTACAATAATAGAATATTTATATACAAAATTGGAAACAACTCCCTCTTGGTCATTGTACTCTTCAACTGCTGGAATAAATACATAGTCTTAAGTAGAGTAGAGAGTGATAATCTACTAACTGCAAATATTCAGTGTGCTATGTTATCAAGCTAGTAGTATTTACAGATGGAACGGAGAGCACCAATTAGTGCAATAAGTCTGCTAAAGGGGAAGTTGACAGTATATGGGTATTTTTGTGTCTTATACCAATCTTTCCTAAAAATTTTCAGCCTTATTTTCAAATACTCATGCAAATCTTACAACTTGCGAATGAATATTACTATAAATAAGAAAACCAAAGCTGTTTTTTTTAATTTATTTAAAATACTAGATGAAGAGAAAGATGATTACCCTATGACCAAGGTCCTACAATAGGCTTCAAATAATGAAGACACATGCTAGTGAGTACATGGATGTATTTGTGTGTGCATACACATACAGATACATATAAACATGTATGCATATATGTATATAAAAGAGTATTTCTTTCTAATATCCCCAAAGATTAATTCTTCCATACTCCACACTCTGAAAAACAGAATCTACCATTCATTCTCTCCTCCTTCATATTTACTCCTCCTTCCCAGTCTTATTTTTAGGGCCTCGAACATGTTAATTTAATCACAAAATACGTATGGACTTTAAGATCCTTAATTTTACTAGAACAATCATCAGAGTGCCTATAGCATAGTTTCTCTTCCTTTCAGCACTCATTTATCTTTAAACAGAAACGTGATGTTCACCTAGAAACACAAGCCTGAAATTTTTTTAATTTCCTACAGATACTACAATCACAAGCTTACCTTATTAATTCTAGTTGTGCAAGCTCCTGATTTGCTTGAAATATAGGTTTTTTAGTGAAGAGTTCACCAAGGATACATCTAACAGGAAGAAACAACCGTGATTACCAAAAGGTAAGATTTCACTTAATTTATCAAAAGTTTCAAATAAACTATTCAGGAAACCTATCTTACCCACAGCTCCACACATCGATAGCTGGTGTATACCTTTCTTCTCCCAGCAGCAGTTCAGGTGGACGGTACCACAAAGTGATGACTTTGTTTGTATATGGCCGACTAAAAAACAGAGAAAGCACTCTTTAGAGTTAATATGTGTTAGAATAAGAGAAATTCTCTTTGTTGGTGCTGCTGTTTACTCATTAAGTTGTGTCCAGCTCTTGCAAACCCCATGGACTGTAGACAGAGGCCAGGCACCTCTGTCCATGGAATTCTCCAGGCAAGAATACAGGAATTGCCATTTCCTTCTCCAGGGAATCTTCTCAACTGCTTCCCAGGGATCGAGCCTGCGACTCCTACATTAACAGGTGGATTCTTTACCACTGAACCACCAGAGAAGCCCCCGAAATTCTCTTAAGAAATATAATTTGGCCAATCAAAACCATCCTACGATCGTAACTAAAACCACCTTCATCTGCCTTCATACATGCTATGACATCTAACACAGGATCATAAAATAGATCTGAAGGCAATGTAATTAACTGAAAAATTCCATCAATGTATTTTTTAAAAGTCATCTTGTTTTAACTGTAATATGGACAAAGAAAGATCTATATATCAACATAACTGTTAGCAGATTGATCTTCACCAAATCTGGCAAATTACTAATGTGTGGCAAGATACAGTTCAAACTGTAACCACCTAACGAAAGTTTTCAACTGGGCCTATCTTCCATTGACAATATTTTATTTTAACCCATTTTGGTATGTGAACAGAAGTTCAGTTCAGTTCAGTCGGTCAGTCGTGTCCGACTCTGTGACCCCACGTGCTGTAGTCACAGCACGCCAAGCTTCCCTGTCCGTCACCAACTCCTGGAGCTTGCTCAAACTCATGTCCACTGAGTCAGTGATGCCATCCAACCATCTCATCCTCTGTCGTCCCCTTCTCCTCCTGCCTTTAATCTTTCCCAGCATCAGGGTCTTTTCCAGTAAGTCAGTACTTCTCATCAAGTGGCCAAAGTACTGGAGTTTCAGCTTCAGCATCAGTCCTTCCAATGAATATCCAGGACTGATTTCCTTTAGGATGGACTGGTTGGATCTCCTTGCAGTCCAAGTGACTCTCAAGAGCCTTCTCCAACACCACAATTCAAAAGCATCAGTTCTTCAGAACTCAGCTTTATTTATGATCCAACTCATACATCTATACATGACTACTAGTAAAACCACAGTTTTGACTGGATGGACCATTGTTGGCAAAGCAATGTCTCTGCTTTATAACATGCTATCTAAGTTTCTCATAGATTTTCTACCAAGGAACAAGCATCTTTTAAAATTTCATGGCTGCAGTTCCCATCTGCAGTGATTTTGGACCCAAGAAAACAAAGTCTCTCACTGCATCCATTGTTTCTCCATCTATTTGCCATGAAGCGATGGGACCAGATGCCACACTCTTAGTTTTTTGAATGTGGAGTTTTAAGCCAACTTTCTCCCTCTCTTTCATCAAGAGCCTCTTTAGTTCCTCTTCGCTTTCTGCCATAAGGGTGGTGTCATCTACATATCTGAGGTTATTATTTCTCCCGGCAATCTTGATTCCAGATTGTTGCTTCATCTAGCCCAGCATTTCACATGATGTACTCTGCATATAAGTTAAATAAACAGCAGACAATATACAGCCTTGACATACTTCTTTCCCAATTTGCAACCAGTCCGTTGTTCCATGTCTGGTTCTAACCGATGCTTCTTGACCTGCATACACATTTCTCACAAGGTAGGTAAGGTGTTCTGGTAGTCCCAACTCTTTAAGAATTTTCCATAGTTTGTTGTAATTTACACACTGAAAGGCTTTGGCATAGTCAAATAAAGCAGAAGTCGATGTTTTTCTGGAACTCTCTTGGTTTTTCGATGATCCAATGGATATTGGCAATTTGATCTCTGGTTCCTCTGCCTTTTCTAAATCCAGTTTGAACATCTGGAAGTTCACAGTTCACATACTGTTGAAGCCTGCTTTGGAGAATTTTGAGCATTACTTTGCTAGTGTGTGAAATGAGTGTCTGTGCAGTAGTTTGAACATTCTTTGGCACTGCCCTTCTTTGGGATTGGAATGAAAACTGATCTTTTCCAGTCCTGCAGCCACTGCTGAGTTTTCCAAATTTGCTGGCATATTGAGTGCAGCACTTTCATAGCATCAACTTTTAGTATTTGAAATAGCTGAACTGGAATTCCATCACTTCCACTAGTTTTGTTTGTAGTGATGCTTCCTAAGGCCCACTTGACTTCACACTCCAGGATATCCGGTTCTAGGTGAGTGATCACACCATCGTGGTTATCTGGGTCATTTCTGTGTATTCCTGCCACCTCTTCTTAAATCTCTTCTGCTTCTGTTAGGTCCATACAATTTCTGTCCTTTACTATGCCTTCTTTGCAAGAAATGTTCCCTTGGGATCTCTGATTTTCTTGAAGAGATCTCTAGTCTTTCGCATTCGATTATCTTCCTCTATTTATTTGCACTGATCACTGAGGAAGGCTTTCTTATCTCTCCATGCTATTCTTTGGAACTCTGCATTCAGATGGGTATGTCTTTCCTTTTCTCCTTTGCCTTTAGCTTCTCTTCTCTTCACAGCTATTTGTAAGGCCTCCTCAGACAACCGTTTTGCCTTTTTGCATTTCTTTTTCTTGGGGATGGTCTTGATCACTGCCTCCTACACAGTGTCACAAACCTCCATCCTTAGTTCTTCAAGCACTCTGTCTATCAAATCTGATCCCTTGAATCTATCTGTCACTTCCACTGTAAAAATGTAAGGGATTTGATTTAGGTCATACCTGAATGGTCTAGTGGTTTTCCCTACTTTCTTCAATTTATGTATTAATTTTGCAATAAGGAGCTCATGATCTCAGCCACAGTTAGCTCCTCGTCTTGTTTTTGCTGATGGTACAAAGCTTCTCCATCTTCAGCTGCAAAGAATATAATCAATCTGATTTCGGTATTGACATCTGGTGATGTCCATGTGTAGAGTCGTCTCTTGTATTGTTGGTAAAGAGTGTTTTCCTATGACCAGTGTGTTCTCTTGGCAAAACTCTGTTAGCCTTTGCCTTGTTTCATTTTGTACTTCAAGGCTAAACCTGCCTGTTACTCCAGGTATCTCTTGACTTCCTACTTTTGCATTCCAGTCCCCTATGATGAAAAGAACACCTTTTTTGGATGTTAGTTCTAGAAGGTCTTGTAGGTCTTCATAAACTGTTCAGCTTCTTCAGCATTAGTGGTTGGGGCATACACTTGGATTACTGTGACACTGAATGGCTTGTCTTGGAAATAAATCATTCTGTCATTTTTGAGGCTGCAACCAAGTACTGCATTTCAGACTCTTGTTGACTATGAGTGCTACTCCATTTATTCTAAGGGATTCTTACCCACAGTAGTAGATATAATGGTTATCTGAATTAAATTTGCCCACTCCGGTCCATTTTAATTCACTGATTGCTAAAATGTAGATACTCACTCTTGCCATCTCCGTCTGACCACTTCCCAATTTTCATGGACCTAACATTCCAGGTTCCTATGCAATACTGTTCTTTACAGCATCAGACTTTACTCCCATCACCAGTCATATCCACAATGTTGTTTCTGCTTTGGCTCTACTTCTTCATTCTTTCTGGAGTCATTTCTCCACTCTTCTCCAATGACTTACTGGGCACCTACCGACCCAGGGCTCTTCATCTTCCAGTGTCATATCTCTTTGCCTTTTCATACTGTTCACAGGGTTCTCAAGGCAAGAATACTGAAGTGGTGTGCCATTCCCTTCTCCAGTGGACCATGTTTTATCAGAAGTCTCCGCTATGACCCATCCGTCTTGGGTGGCCCTACACAGCATGTCACATAGTTTCACTGAGTTAGACAAGGCTCCATAAGATCAGTTTGGTTAGTTTTCTATGATTTTGATTTTCGTTGTCTGCCCTCTGATAGATAAGGATAAGAGGCTTATGGAAGCTTCCTGATGGGAGAGACTGACTTCAGGGGAAACTGGGTCTTGTTCTGATGCCTGGGGCCATACTCAGTAAATATTTAATCCAATTTTCTGTTAATAGGCAGGGCTGTGTTCTCTCTCCCATTCAGGTTTATTCTGTAAAGAACCACTGGCAATAGGTAAGACACTTTACCATCTTCTAACAATGAAGACATATATATGTGCCTTCACACACACACACACACATATATGACATACGTCTTTAGATCAATTCTAAATGTCTCCTTCTTTCCAGATATCCTCCAAATCACAAGGACACAAAAGCTGTATCAGGAAATTACCCAGAAGGGCTGTATTCCAAGCCAAGCCACCTGAGTCAGCTTAAACTTGGACCCGTCTGGGCAAGGAAAAAAAGGAGTGTATGCTTTATAAGCAATTCCCTCTTGCTGACTGTAGGTCTGAGTTCCAAGCAGCCTGCTTCCACACAGCCAGATTTCTCCAAATAATTTAAACATTTATACTATACGGCATTGATCTAAACATCACAGAATTACTCACAGTTAGGACTATAGTAACAATGTGCCAAAGCCAGGAAAAAAGAATACTTGTCCTTGTTAAAACAGAGAAAATAGTCTGTTTTCAATAGCTAAGGAGCATTAGATTTTTCTAACATTACTAAATTACTTTCCTTAGTGATTTTTGCTTGTTTTTACTAGCATCACTTTGCACAATGAGGAAGTCTCTTAAACTCTAGCTATTCTAATTAAGCTGGATTTAACCATTTAAAAATAAGTTCACCTCTTGATGACCTACGTCCTTTTAAATTTGAAGTTCCTTCCCATTTTACTCTCACTCAAACCTATACCTCCTTAAAAAAAAAAAAAACCTATACCTCCTTTAAAACATAGTGAAAGATCCATCTCCATAAGGTCTAATCTCTTTTTAACAACAGATTTGTTTTTAAAGAGAGATTTATTTTCATATTCTTAAATTTACACCATACTTACCATTGTATTGAACTATTTTGTTTTCTCTATGTTCCAAGAAAGTCAAAAGGCCTCAGAGGCCATTCTTTATTATGAACCCCACAAACTAAGCCCAGAACAGTGCTGGACATAGGGAAGAACTTTTAATGTATATGGCCCCAACTTTAGGTGAC